GATGTAAAATCTCCAAGTACTCACTTGTCATTTTTGGGACTGAGTCATCCTTGTGAGCATGTTTTAGGTTTGGTGCATGTCTTTGCTGGAACCATTTGTTGGAGTTCCAACTTCATTTTAAAATGCTGATGCTCTCTGGAAAAGGCCAAAACACTGGTGCAGGTAAAGGATAAATCATCAAACCCCAATTTTATTGCCCTTTGGTTTCTAAGGACTGCTTTGCTACTTGACTATTAAAGTTTGCCAGTGTGGCAATACTGGCCAAGCATGTGTAGACCAGCCCTTAATGGCTAATCTGGAGCAAAATCATTAATTGGGGAAGAGAGCTCCTTTCCAAAAGACAAGTGTCTCCCTGGTGTCTCCTGCAGTCTGGTTCCTGACACCCTGCAGTGTAAGTAGGTCAGAGAACTGTGTTTGCACCACGGTGACGTGGGAGCAGGTAAAAGTTTTGTGTTGCAAAGCATCAAACCCAAAGCATCTGTCTCTTGTTCCCCAGATTTTTTGATGGCTGTTCACTGTAAATATCAACAACCTGCTTGTGGTCAATGTGGTCTGCAGCATTCTCATGGGCACAGTCTGTGCAGACAGGTGTTTTCTTTGCTTGTTTAGGTCCCAATATACCAACACTCTAAGGATTAAAGCTTTCCAAGAGTTGTGCTCTTGTTCTCTCTATAACTTGTGTGACTATTGTAAAAACACATCAGTTGTCTTTTCTTAATAGTTTATAGATAAGGCAGAGATTTCAAAGATGAAAATATTCCCACAAAATTATGTCTGACTCAGGAAAGCAAGTGGTGTTGGTGGTGGCCAAGTTCTTAATTTGAGTTTTCATTTTGTTTGTTGTTTTGTCTAGTTGGGTTTTTAACAGGGATTATTCCCCTCCTGTAAACTTTCAGCTTTTAAATATAAGAAAACCAAGTTTTCAGACACATGGATTTGTTTTTTCAATCTGTTTCTTATCAATCTTAACCATCCCACAGCAGTGCTTTCACAGGGATTGACTATAAGGCCAGAAGTATTGGTTGTGTTTTGATTTGTTTTGCTCTTTTAAAATAGCAGTAAGTTGGAAGTTCTGTCTTGGTCTTAACAAGAACTGTGGGCAGTCTTAATTTACCTGTTGGTTTACCTTTTGCTTGTGGGTTTTTTTTTATTATTTGAATCTGTTTTATGTCACTAGATGTAAATTGTTCCTAGCAGTATCAATATCAGTTCTTGAGTCGATGTTTTCATTTTGAGGATTCACCTTGCTCATATTGCTTATGCAGAAGAGGTACTGGAATTTTTATCCTCATTCTGCCTCATGTAGAGCATTTCAGATGACTCATTAGGATTGTATTCCTTAAGTGGTGTGGAACAGCAGATTCTAAATTTGTCACACAGACAACATCAAAACACAACATCAACCCATTTGTTCTTATGCCACTGGCTCAAGGTGTTGTGTGTGCCAGCAGATTTCCTGACGAGACACAAGATGTTGGGGTGGATGTTGAGCATTTATAGAACAGTTTTATGTTACTGCAAGCAATTGCAACTTGTAATCATGATCTTAATTAAAAAATGGAAATTATTGTTTTAAAACGTGCATAGAGTCAAGTTGCTCAAAATTAAATACTTTAGAAAACAGGAGGAAGAAGTTGCATAGTTTCATTTCCTCCAGCTCTGTCTTGGCTGTGCTCTGCTCCCAACTCATGGGGGTTTTGGTTGGCTGAGAGGATTATTTCCTTCTAGATCTTGATCTTCTGGTCTTCCATCTGAATTAAGGAAGACTGAGGCTGCCTTTTCTGCTGTGGTTTGACAGCTTGGAGTGCTTTTAAAGTAATTAAAATGCTGTCCTCAGTAGGAAGCTGTCACATGCCTGTGCTAGGAGCAGCTGTGCTGCAGCTGGCACATCTCTGCACCTTGGCTTGCTGGTTGCCACTTCCAGCTCTCAGCCACACAAATCAGAGGCTGCATAAATCACCCCGAGGAGGAGTGTGGCAGAAGGCAGGCATCCTCCCTCTGGGGTGCTGACAGATTGGAAAGCTGCTGCTTAAGCATAGCTGGTAACTTATTTTCTAAAGTGAAGTTTGATAGAGGGCAAGGGTTAAGTATTTCTCCATGTGCTGCCCATTGTCTTTCTGAACTGGGAACAAACATGTTTGGAAACTTTCTCGTTCTGTCTCTGTTGTGACAGGGATGCCCAGGCCTCAGTTTGCTGGTGAGGTGTGGGTGCAGGTCACAGCTGATGCTGGGTGATGCAAGAGGAGATGTGGCTCCTTGCCCTCTGCTTGCACATCTCCTACTTTTGTGTCCTCCTTCAGCTTTCTTTCCATTTGGACTCATGATTTTTTTTTCCTTAAACTTTTCCAGCCCCAAACCTGGTTATAATATGTCCTTGCATCATATTTTTCCTCCCCTCGTCCCACCAGCCAGTATCTGTCCTGCAGTTTTGATGTGAGTGACAAGGAGTACCTCCAGCTGCCTTTGGGAATGGCTGTCTTGGCATAGCTCAGAAGTGCTTGTACTGAAATAAATAACCTTGTATTTTATTAACCAACAAATTAAAACCATATGACAGATGGATCACTATTGCTTCCCATGGCAGATGATAGGAACAAAACTTAATCTGAACTGGGAAGTATTTGCATAAGGTGAATGTTTGCCTAGATACGAGTGTCTGTAATTTTGAAGCAATTTGATTTGTTCTCAAGGTTAATTTTCTGCTTTGTCTTTGTGTTTTTGCCTTGCATTAGGGCCTAGGTAATTTCTTTTCAGCTTACAAGCTGTTGATGCCTGAAAAAGTACACAGTAATTAGAACATCTACCCTGATAAGACCCAAAAACTCTGAACAACACTCTCTTGTTGCCAGGAGGAGTCAGTGTAAAGTCCACGCAGTAAGGTGATTTAGCTTGGGTGTGTACAGGTGATGCTGAGATGAAAGTTAGTGATAAATTGCATGAGTCCTTTCCCTAATCTTCCCATTAGTGCTGGCATCGACTTAGTATATGCCTTGGACCTGTTCTAAGCCCCACAATGTGTTGGACACCCCAGGATCTGTGTAGATACTGCTGTGTATTTGATCATAACAGATACTAACAGGTACCTGACTCAGGTGAGATCTGGGGATCACCCACCTGACTGTCTTTTCTGCTGAAGGAAGCCAGACACTGTGAGCCTTGATACATTTTATGTTAAATTAAAAGAAAACACCATTTCATCCTAGGAATCAAGGAGTGCCTTTTATTACAAATCAAGAATCCCAGAACTGAAGTGTAAATGGAGGAAGTTTGGATAGATGTGAAAATGTGTGTAAAGGAAGCTTTGCTCTGTTAGAAGTGACAGAGGACCTTGCCCTGTGGGTGTGTGCTCTGTGGCTCGTTTGGAGCTTGTAGACATGGAAAATGCACACTGCACATGGGTAAGGATGGCTCAGGTTGAGGTACACATTGTATGTTCTGCTGGAAATGTACATTTGGGACAGGAGTTTTCAGCTGACAAGCTGTAAATCAGTGCCTGCTATTGCAGCATGCACTTTAATGGGAGTCACATAGTTTTCCTAATCTCCTTCCAAGTGTTAGGAAATAAACAATTTCCTAACCCACACCACGTTGTTGTTGTTGTTATTTGTGTTGTAACTTGTGCCAGGTGCTGTGCAGACAGGGGGAAGCAGCTCCAGCCCTGGTGCAGTGGCACATGGGCACCTGAGCATCGCTGTCAATGGGTGCCCTGCAGAGTAGAAAAGGGATGTGAAGACAGGACCACAAGTGTGATGGACTGAAGGGCTAAAATTACTGCCCTTATTCACACTTAAAAATAGCTCCTTACAGACTAAGGTTTTATTTGGTGTAGGTTACAGCTTATTTTCTGAGAAACTTAATTTATTCCAATATGAGTAAGTGAGGCAGAATCTGCCCTTAGCTAAGACCTATTTATGTATTTGCTTAGCATGAGTGTGGATAGCAGGAGGCTGGACGATTTCAGCTTAGCAAAGCCACAGCTTTTCACATTAAGGAACTGATTCTATCTAAGGATATATTCAAATGAATGTTAAAAAGTTGTATAAGCTTTTATTTTAGTGTGCTGTGGTACAGATGTAGGTCACTATATATACACAGAGGTAGTGAAACAAAGTTTCTTGTCTTTATATAATGTATTCTTCGTTGACCAAAATGTGGAAAAATATGTTTAAAATTATCTTTTATTAGCTCTTGTGGCTGTTTTCCCCAGACTGGTGGATGCTGCTCCCTTTTGAACACTTAAAGTTGTCTCTCGTGGAAGAAGTGTTTGCACTGACAGCTGGTGGAAAGCAAAGTGTCTGCTGTGCTATTATTACTTCCTCACCTCTTCCCTTAGCCCCCACCGTTCTATTCAGAGGCACATCACAGTGCTCCTGGTATGTCTAAAGAAATGGCTTGTAAGTGAAGTGTCCACTGATGTAAATGAATATTTAAAGCTCCTCTGAGCAGCACTGTGAGTGCATGGCTTGGTTACAGCCAGGCACAGCATTAGGCTGATAACATCATAAACTACACAAAATGGTAATGCAATCCAAATGTTTATGCTGCCAGTGAATATTCTGATCACATCTGCTAACTCTAATTATTTCTTCCTTGGTAAAAAGGGTTTTGGTTTTGTTTTGCTTTGGGTTTTTTCCCACCTTTATCAAAGCAAATTTTTGTGTTTCATCTGTCAGCAGAGTTGCTGTTCTGTTGGAAGGTCTGAGTGAAGTTTTTGAATGCTTGTGATGAATGAGCTGGGATAAAAAAATACTTTGGCTCTTTGATGGCCTGGGTAGTTTGCAAGGCTGACAGATTTGTTCAGTTTGGAAATGTGATAAGCAGTATCAGAGGCCATATCTACGTGCTAATTCAAGGGACAGTTTTTCCATCACATTGAAAGTTTTAATATCTCTGCTGTGGCTCAAGAGATCCATGTTCTGAGATTTCAGATTCTTAGGAAACTGAGAGCCAGCAATGCCCACATTTTGAACTTTGCTCTTTTTTCTTTTCTCTTCTCTTAGAACAAAATTGAATTACAATCCTCCAAAGGATGATGGCTCAACGTACAAGATTGAACTCGAAGGGATATCTGTTGATATCATGAAAGAGATACTAGATTACATCTTCAGTGGTCAGGTATGGTATTAAAAAATCCCTAAACCTCACTTGGACTGTTTGGCAAAGTAACTTGAATTTTAACCCTGCTATCCCAAAAGATGTTTAAAGCTTTGTGATAAAACTTCTGCAGAGTGGGACTGTGCCTATGAAATAGAGACAGTAGGCTCTGCAGGAGTTTTCTCTGCTCTTCTTGTGCAGCAGGGGAGGACTTTAAAATTTAGAGTTAATATCAAATGCTTGTATTAAAATTGGTGGCTACCTTCAGTAACCTGCTTTAAAACAGGCAGTATTTGTCAGCTGTGACAGAGGACTGCTTTGGTAGCCACAGAGGTGGAGACCCCATCACTGAACATTACAGTACACCAGGCACCCTCCCTCCCTGCCCCTCGTGCCCACCTCTCTGGCCTCTTGTCACATCTGCCTGCCAGGAGCCTTAGCAGGAATTAAAGTTGGTGTGTCCAGTTTACTTGGAACCAACTGAGATTGCAGAACGAGTTTAACTTTCAGCAGAAGAAGAAAAGGCAGATTTGGCTTGAAACTAATTCCTGCATGTGTGTTTAAAAAAATATTTGTTTATTACAGCAAAACTCGTTTTAGGTTCCTGGATGAGATGAGCAATTTTATGGTTGGTTACTTCACGAACATATACAAAATTCTGCTCCACACCTTCTGTCAAGCAAATGCCTTTCCAGCCCCATGTTAATTAATAAATGGTTAGCATATCAGTTTCTCCTAATTTTTACACTGGCATTAATACTCCATTTTTCAGCCACTGAGAATGAGTGTAATGAATGCAGGCATGTCATGGAACTAATGAGTGATAGTAGCTATAACTTCTAAATTAATTCTTGCAGATCAGGCTAAATGAAGAAACTATCCAAGATGTGGTACAGGCAGCTGATCTCCTGCTGCTTACAGACTTAAAAACTCTCTGCTGTGAGTTTTTAGAAGGTTGCATAGCTGCTGAGAACTGTATTGGTATTCGGGACTTTGCACTGCACTATTGTTTGCATCATGTTCACTACCTTGCCTCAGAGTATCTGGAAACTCACTTTCGAGATGTCAGCAGCACAGAGGAATTCTTGGAACTGACTCCTCAAAAACTGAAAGAAGTGCTGTCGATGGAAAAGCTCAATGTTGGGAACGAAAGATACGTCTTTGAAGCGGTGATTAGGTGGATTTCTCATGATTCAGAATCCAGAAAGGTCAGGACATCCAAATGCTTGTATTTTGAACGTGGCGCAAATCGGAGTGTTCATTCTAATCAGTGGGAACTTGAAATAGATCTGTTTCTTTCAGAACTAATCTTATAGAATTTATTGAATTTCGCCTGAAATGCAGACCATGGCATTGCAGTAAAAGGGCGAAAGCCGTGTTGTTGATATATCATCTGCTGCCTTTATTATTTAATAGGCATTAAGATAAAAAGCAACATTTTAACATTTGCTGATGCGATGTTGTTTACATGGTGAGAAAGCAAGCAGCACTTTTACAGAGAAACTTTGAGGACCCGGTGCGTTTTCTCACTAACACTGTGTTATATAGTTTCTTACAAACTCTCGGGTATTTGCACGCCCAGGCACCTCCGTGCAGGGGCTGACTGTGTCCCCGATGCCTCCGCAGGTCCACATGAAGGATGTCATGTCGGCAGTGTGGGTGTCGGGTCTGGACGCAGCCTACCTGCGCGAGCAGATGATGAGCGAGCCGCTGGTCCGCGAGATCGTCAAGGAGTGCAACAACATCCCCCTGACACCCCCGCAGCAGGGAGAGGCCATGCTGGCCTCCTTCAAGCCCCGGGGCTACTCCGAGTGCATCGTGACTGTTGGGGGGGAAGAGAGAGTGTAAGTGTGCAGCGGCATCGCAGCTGGTCCCAGGGCCAGCACTCACTGCACTCTGAAAACACAGAGTGCAGGGAACGGGTGCACCTATTGCTTATTACTCCATTATTTGTTTTCAGTTGGTCAGACACACCTAAAACACCTTTGGGTGTTTTAGCAATAAATAGTTATTTTGTTTCTGGCATTCTGAGCGTAGTAAACTTAGAGTAGGGTTGTTTGTTCAGTAAGTGTTTTTTTTAAACTGAATAGACTTAAACACAGAATCATTATTGATAATCTGAAAAGCATCTATAACAAAACCTAAAAGTAATGAACATGTGCTTTAAACTGTTTTGTTTATAATAGATGTGGTTCCAAAAAAAAAGTCATTATTGGTGCATCTGAGATAAGGGGAAAATTCCTGTTCTGCACAATAATCCCTTTCTTTTCTTGAGTGCCCGCTGCAGCAGAAGGGAGGGTTCTGTCCTGTTTAAATAAGTTTAGCATTTGGATGTTAGCTCTTTATAGAAGGTAGTAAACCACTCAGATAACATTTTGTGAATCACTTTACTAATGACATTACTAATACTCTCTATCAGTTCTTCTTAGCTCGTTCAAAGCTCATAAAAAAGGTTAAAGGCAGGAGGAATGAAGTGAATCAGCTTTTTATGTCTCCAAGTCTGTACAAACTCGATTTACATGTTTGGTTTGGGGGTCTTCTCCTTACCAGGGAAATGCCACGTGATGAATATACAGAAAAACAAGAACAAGGAAGCTTTGGACACGAGGTGTTAACAGTGAACTCGTAAAACTCTGTCTGTCTTTCTGTTTCTGTTTGTTCCCTCCCCACCCTGTGTTCAGATCACGGAAACCAACCTCAGTGATGCGGTGTATGTGTCCTCTTTATGATCCCAATAGACAGCTCTGGATTGAACTTGCTCCTATGAGTATTCCAAGGATCAATCATGGAGTATTGTCAGCAGGTAAAGGGGAGCTTTGTCTTTGTAAAGTCAATGTTATGAGACCTTACCAGTGCCTCTAAATCTGAGATACAATGTTTTCTTCAATACTGACTGCACTGGGGTTACTTCATGCTTCCCCTTTGTCTGCCCAAAACTGTACTTGATTCTGTGAAAATCCCTGCCATCTGCGTGTCTTAAAATCACTATTCCTGCAACATTTTGTGGGAATCTGCTACATCTGTCTCTCCAGGAGTATTTCATGTTTTACTTAAATTTTAGTTGCTGCATCACTGAATATGTTGAAGGGTATCTGCAGGGGTAGACTTGAGTCAGATGTAACTATGTGCTTTACCTTCTCCAGTCCAGAGTCTGACCTGTGACTGGTCTGGATCTCTTGGTGAATTCCAGAATACAGCTCACCAGTCATGTTTTGCTCAGTGTGCAGGTGTGAGTCCTCTTTTTGAGAGTCCTGTTCTTAAGATCATGTTACATTTTGTTTTACAGAAGGATTTTTATTTGTGCTTGGTGGTCAGGATGAAAACAAGGGAACGCTAAGCTCTGGAGAGAAATATGATCCAGACACCAATTCATGGAGTTCCTTACCACCAATGCATGAGGCAAGATCTCTATCTAACTGTTGGGATTTAAGTTTTTACTTTGGCAAAATGTTCCTTTTCTTCTGCAAAATTTTATTCTGAATCTCCAGTCGCTTGCATCTTACACATTCAAAATCATGCTCCAGACTGACTTCTGTTTATATCCTGTTGTTCTTGTGGTCTGATGCTGACTGCTGGATCTGGAAAAACTAAACAATTGGTGAAGAGCTAACTGTAAGATGAACTACAAAATTTCAGGAGTTTCATAATGAATCAGTCCTCTAGTATACTTAATGTTCTGCGTATACTGGCCTTCTAAAACAAGAGACCTCTGAGATGGACAAAGGGATCGGACTGTGCAGAAAAGATGGACAGAGGACTGGCCAACATACAGAACTTGGCTTGCACAGACATATTTAGGTTTGGTTTGAGTTAATGCTTCCTTCTTCATAATTACATTCCATCAAAAAGTAACAGTTTGTTATTTGTAAACATATATCCTTAATACACCTGTGTTTTTGTCTTTGTAAATCAGCACAGGGTGTTTATTAAGAAGTTGTTTACCACAGGATTTTCCTCTTTGCAATCTGGTTGACAAAGGCATGTAGATTTGGCTACAATTTCAGTTATGATGCATTAAGTTTCCTGCTTGTGATATGTTTGCTGTGAGACTGAGGGGTAGCTGGGCTTTATACAAAATTTATATATACAAAATAGAGGAGCTGCCTTTGCAGAGAGAATGGGTCCAGGCTTTGCTGCTATAGGGACCTGAAAGCAACAGCTTCATTGTGGAGACCACAACTGTGGGAACTGAAATATGGCCAACTCTGTTCTTAGATTTCTGTGTGGTCTCTTTGGCTTCTGCTGGTCTGCTTTTTCTTTTGCTTTTTTTTTTTCTTTTGATACCCTTTGTTTTGTTTAGTCGATTAAATTAATAATCTTATGTTGGTGTTTAGGACTTCACCATTAAAAAAACCCCAAAACAAAATAAAAGCCAGGCATAATACCAATAACACTTTGGAGACAGATACTCTGAAAAATAAGATTGTATTCATTTTTTTCACAATGGCAGTTACGTTTTTCAATGTTGACTTTATTGATGTTCCTTAGGCACGACATAATTTTGGTGTGGTAGAGATTGATGGGATTCTGTATATTCTGGGAGGTGAGGATGGTGAAAGAGAGCTGATCTCTATGGAGAGCTATGATATTTATAGCCGGACCTGGACCAAGCAGCCAGACTTGACCATGGTTAGAAAGGTAAAAACTACACCCTATATTATTGTGTTGCTTCTTGTTAAACTGTCAATGCAGGTATATGTATGTATATATGTATATGTATTTTAAACTTTTAGTTCAAGTAGAAGCTGTAGCAAATATCTCAAAATGAAATGAGAGTGAGCAGCTTTTCTCTTTATACACCAAAACAAAACTGTGACTGAGCATTTTTATGCCTTGCATTGTTTGACACACCCAAATTCCTCTGTGTGTGTATATAGGCAGCTTTGAGCTCTCAATACTGTGCATTTGTGTGTCATTTTAGATATATTTTTCTTTTTTTTTCCATAAGATTGGCTGCTATGCAGCTATGAAGAAGAAAATCTATGCAATGGGTGGAGGCTCCTATGGAAAACTTTTTGAATCTGTGGAGTGTTATGACCCCAGGACTCAGCAGTGGACAGCAATCTGTCCTCTCAAAGAGAGGAGGTGAGGGAAAATGGAAGGGGGGGACTAGATTGCTTTTCCAACCCTCTGATGGGAGGAAAGGGTCCTTTTCATAATGCATCTGTGAAGATGGCCTGTGAATCTCACCAGGTCTTTCTGAGTCATGGTGGCCTGCAGTTAACATGTAGCTGAGTAAAGCCAAGCATCCAAGCAATAAATATAAATTTTGTAGAAACATAGCCCTGATGTTACAAGCAATAGTTTCCTGATGCAAAATGAAAACTAGAAATTATAGTTCAATTGGAATTTCAGAATATTTTTAGGGAGAAATATTTCTACTGCTTTTTTCTTTCGTGATCTGAATTAGGTGCTTACGATTAATATCCATGACTCATCATGTTGGATATTTAAGGCATCAGTGTGTATAAATAAATAAAAGAGTAAAAGCTGAAGAAAGTTCAGGGGTTTTGATGCAATTGCATTAATGTTTTTTCCTCGTTTGGATTTTCAGATTTGGGGCAGTGGCCTGTGGAGTTGCCTCTGAGCTTTATGTGTTTGGTGGGGTCAGGAGTCGTGACGACAGCCAAGCCAGTGAGATGGTGACATGCAAATCAGAATTTTACCATGATGAGTTTAAAAGGTAACTGACTGCAGCTCTAAACATAGAAAATAACTTGCTGTGCAGTCATCTGCCTGTTCCCTCACCCCTTGTCCCTGCACTCCAAAGCACGTGAGGTCTGCTGCTCACTGCACTTTTTGTTACCTGGTATGGCTGTTACTGAAGGCCCAGCCACTCCATTTTTCCCTCTAACATGCCAAACCTAAAGCCCTGGAGCCACTGTGTGAGTCTTGAGTGCCCCTGGAGAGAAGCACCTTGGTCACACAGGGAGTTTGTGGTTCTTCCCCTGCACTCTGCAATTTCCCCAAGGGCAGGACCTTGCTGCCCCCACCCCTGCTCATGCCCACAGCTCCCTGTTGAGTGCTCATTACAGGTCTTTTCCAACCTAAATGGCTGCATGGTTCTATGGAGGAATGTTTGTATGTACAGGGATATTTCTTCATGATCCAATCCTATCTCCAAAGATTTGCAGCTTAGGGAATTCCTAAACTAGAGAGAGATAAGAAATTTCATGTATTTCTGTTCCAAGCATTTATAGCTGATGGCACCCATGTAGGCTTTTGCCACAGGAAAGACACTTATCATGCTGCACATCCCACAGCCTCACCACACTGCATGGCTCATCCCCTTCTGTTTGTTTTGAATTTACTTCTGATCACTTAATTTGTTATCATGTTGTTATCATGTTCTGTTTGTTATTTGCTTCTGATTACTTCATTTGGCAGTGGAATGCACCTTACTATATGTGGTAACCATTCAAAATGTTACCTTACATTGAATTTTTTGTTTAGTCACCTTATTCTTGACTCATAAGTGACAAGCTTGGTTCCTCCAGTGACTTTTTTCTTGCATATAACTGTAAATTGGATTATTCTTCTTTCATAAATTAAATTTTAAGAAGACTTTGTGGTCAGATGTTTCAAGGCTTGTTGACAATTGAAGGAGATTAGCATGTCTTTATTAGAAGATCAAGACTGATTTATGACAGTGACCTGTATAAAAGGACACAAAAATAGAACAGTAGATGTAAATTCATTATATAATTTTCTTGCAAGATATGGTTGTAAAGAGACTTTAATTTCTGTATGAAGAGGTCTCCTCTGTTGTTCAAAGTGATGTCTAAACTAGCTATAATCAAATGTAGCTGAAGAAAAACATCCTTTAAATTGCTTAAAGGAAGCAGACAGATCAGAGAGGCTGTTGCTGCTGATGCTCCCTTAGTGTTTGCTAGGGAACACTTCTGGAGGCTGGGGAAATGGTAGAAGTTTATGAATGTTTTGCAAGAGGTTTTTGAAAGGGAAAGAACCGTGGAAAGAAGTGCTCCCCTCTCTCCTACTTGCTATTTTCAGCTGATGTACTTGAAATATTTCCAGCCTGATTGTGTTCTTCAGAAGTCATAGCAGTGGCTGCAAACCTGTTTCACAGGTTGGTGCAGGTTGAGTTTCCATGGAGTGGAGTTTGGGGAGCGGGGAGGGCCCAGCCTGGGTGCTGCAGGTGAGTCCGTGGTGCCACCTGCTGACTGCAGCAGCCACACCTGCCACCCTGCGATGGGTTCGGGCTCTGCTCGGGATCCCTGGGCCTTGCAGGATTCCAGTGGAATCCTGAATAATCCAGTGGTAACTCCCGCTGCCCCAGTGGCTCTGAGTGCGGGGTGTGTGGTGTGAGGGCTGTGCTGGCACGGGGCAGGGGAGGCAGCAGAGGTGGAGCCGATGGAGGAGGCAGCTGAGATACCAGGCTTTGCCTTTCTGCTCTGCCACTGCCCAGTCTGAACTTAGAAATGTAACTCAGCATGAACATGCAGGCAGGGCACAGGTTGTGCTGGAGACTGGGGACCAGGGAAGGCTGGGGTGGTGGCAGCTGCTGCCTGGGTTTGGAAGCCTCAGCTCAGCCCAGGGGTGCTGTAGCCAGAAGAGGGTGCAGTGTCTCTGTGTTATGTTCCAGCACTCAGCTCCAGGGTCTGTCAGTTATCCCAAGTTTCAGTTCCCTCAGAGATCAGTGTAGCAGATCAGTTCTAGCAGTCTCAAATCAAAATTCACAGTGACTGTTTTAATAGTTACATGCCAATACTGCATAGTTTATAATGAGCTGTGGGCTTTTCCAGCTGTTTTTAAGTAAGTGCAGAACCTCCATTATGTTCAGTTTCTCTGTGGATGGAGAGAACTCTCTGGACTGTGAGTTCAGCCATGGGATGGTGTTGGTTATGGGGTACGTGCAGCAGTGCACACCAGTGTCATCTGCACAAATTTCCATGTGTGCCTCAGGCCTCATTGCCAGAGCACAGGGTCCAGCATCACCACAGGCACCCAGAGCCTGAGTGTCTGAGTTACAGGTTTTACTCTAGTGTGAATGTCTAAAGATGTACTCACATTGGTATATAAACATATTAATTCATGTAAGTTGCCATAATTCTGGCTTGAATTGGATTAAAGGACTGGACTTGTTTAATATTGTTTACTTTGACAGTAACTTACTCCAAAATAACTCACAGTGCAGAGTCTTTTAAAATTGTTATTCTTAACCATGACGCAGACTTCTCAAAGACTGGGGATATGCTGAGATCTTCACACTAGCAAAAAAATAAACATTGAGACTCCTGTTAAGCTGTGCTGTATAAACAAGTAATAAAATAAATGAAGTGAGACAGAATAGTAGCATCCACATGAAATGTGAACAGGGTAATGTAGGAAATAATTCTCATACTTGAAGTGCTGCTGTAAGTGAGATTTTTCAATTAATAAATGTTTTGTCAGCCTGTCTTTAGAGTCATGTGCATGAATGGATTTAAGTGAACCCAAAGATAGAAAAAGCTGTGTGTCAGACTGCAGGGTTTTTGCAGGATGTAAATTTTTTTTGCAAAGGCTGTAGATTGAGCTTTGTGTGCATTGTATCCTGTTTTTTTAAATATTGATCAAGCTAAAAACAGATTTAATGAATGTGAAAATGGAAGATAGAAATGTGAAAGTATTCTTCACTCAGTGATCCAGTGTTGGTCTACTCCATAAAAAGCAGGAAGTCTTAAATACATACTCAAGACCTTGATAGGTCAGACTTTTTTTCTATCAGAGTTCATAATTTAGGGTACACCTTTTGCACCATGTAGGTGAATGGAGAATTGGATGATGTCTGTACACACTCGAGTTTTTTCTTTTCAATGTGTATGGTTGGAAATATTTAATAAAGCCCAAACTGACTTTAGGATTCTTTGCTGTGCTGGTGTATGGCCACTGCTGCCTTTCCTTGGTGGTCTGTAAGTGGTGTAGGATGTCTTCCTTCTTTTCGTGATTTAAAAAAGAATTACAAAATTTTGCAGGTGTTAAGGGGGATAAAAATGATAGATAACTTTCAGAAGCAGTACTTTGATAAAATATCCTTTACAATGTTCTTTTTGCTACTGGAACGTCATAAAAATAAGGAAGAGCTTTCAGCAGTATGTAACTAGTGAACTAAATAGTCTTGTAACATAGTATGTGTAATTAGCAACATTCTTCCAGTCAGTGTGCAGGAATTTCATTAAATGCAAGTGCTTATGCAAATGTAATGAGAACACTGACTGACTGATAGCACTGTCAGATGAGAGGAACGTGGATTTTCATTCATTTCCAGGCTTCCTTTCTCAGCTGGAGTGATCTTGAGGTGACGTGTCTGGAATATGTTGGTTCTGTATCACATCTTTATTTACTTCCCAGTTGGAAATAAAGCAGTCACCCCCATCCCACTCATTATTACAGCAGTGTGGATGGATCATTTTGTTTGTCTCGCTTTAAGACTGAAAAAAAATCAGGATTCCTTCCCCTTTTTTTTTTTTTAATTGGGTGGAAGCCTGTTCCAGTTTCAGAGCCATCACTTGTGCCGTGGTTGCAGCAGGACTTGCCTTCCCCCTGCTCCTCTTGGGCTCGCTTTGAGTGGAGCCATCCCAGGGAAGTACGCAAGAGTTCTGTTCCAAGGACTGTTTTCAGATTCCTGAAGATTGTGAATTTTTGGTCATGGTGTTTTTTCCATACTGTTCAAACAGCAGGCACAACCCACATTAAGCTGGAGCTTAGTCAAATTCTGATGAAACGTGACCCCTTGCCCTTCCTGTCTTTGTTCCTTCCTAGTTTTAACTGCTAAAGCTGCTGTGAGTGTTCCTGAAAAGTGGTGCCTGTTTTTTAAAGTATACGCGTTGAGAAAGCCTGAGGATGAATTTTCACAAGCAGCTACAGATACTTTAATATTGTCCTTTGGTGATGCACAGTAGGAAAATGCTTGAGTCTCACCCTGTGGATTTAGTTTTTTTTAAATTTAAACTCCAAAACCCAGAGTATCTGGTGCAGATGAACTCCTGATTTGAGTTTTTTCCCTTCCTTAACCTGGTCCTATAGTTAGAATTTTAAAAAAGGAAAAAAAAATCCAGTGTTCCTTCTGCATTCCTCTGCCACTTACTCTGTTTTCAGAATTCTAGGTCACTTGCTGCTAAAAAGCAGTGAAAATACTGTGGCCTCCTCCTACAGTAAGGGAAGGAAGCTAATGAAATATGGTGCAAGTTGTTTTGATCTGTGAGAATTTCTGAACCAGTGTAGAGAACCTCTGCTTTTCTCTCCTTAGTTCATCTGTCCTCTTCTGTGACAGCTACAAACCATTTCCTTGCTTTGCACAGAACGTTAATCCTTCAGTGTACAGCACAGACAAAATAATGGACAGCTAATCCTTTCATTTGCCCTTTAAAAATTGATTTCTGTCTCCAAGATAATTGATATGGAGCAGCATCCCCTTCAGTACCAGGAGAGTGGTTTACTTCTGAAGCAGAAGTTCAGATGATGCAGAATTTTCAAAGATCAGCAGTATCTGGGAGGGCATTTTCTAACTTTCTCCTTCAAATTAACTTGGTATGACCATGAAAATATATGGGATGATTTTCAAAGGTTTCTCAGACCTTCATGTTCTCTGTAAATTATTTAATAAAAAGTGTAGGAGCAGTCCCCTAAAATGGATGTGATTTCTACATCTTAGAGTCTGTGCATGGTAACTGTAACAGCATCTGCAAAGGTGCAGCAGCATTTTGTAGGAATTTGTTTCAGAACCACAGAGAGGATGCTGATAACTCTTGGACCTCTTTATAAACCAGCATCCCATGTGGGTGAGGAGTACATCCTTACCTGCTTTCCAAAGGCTTCAACACAGAAAACTGCTTTTCACTCAGTAGAAAGATCAGGCTATGCTTACAGTGATCACAGGGTAATTGTAAGATTACTGTAGGAGCTGGAAAAGGATTGAAAAGAGCCTGATACGTGATTGGGAAAGTCTGTGGCAATCCAAGATAAAGGACATTTCTTTTCCAAATTCCACTACCACTTTGATTTCCAGTCTTCCATCCCTTGTTTGAAGTTAAGCATTGCCAAGTGCTGCATTCTTCATAGCAGGCAAGGATTTATTGTGCCAGATAAAGCACTATTAAAGAAATTGAAAAATTATATGGGGGACACTGCTTAATAATAAGGTTCTGCTATAGCAATTTGTTATTTCCCTTACTATGGACCATTAATACTTGTATGTGTTTATTTTAAAGACAATTTAAAGACTAATTTAAAGACAAAGCTGTCTAAAATTTTCTCTGTAGGGAAGATTGACTGGCATAGCTGTTGTTGGCTCTCTAACATGCCTGCTCTCTTCCAGAAGGTCACACTGGGTGGCTGCAAGAAGAATTTATTATAGGTAGATTACACAGATGAGTGAAGCAATTCTGAAATTAAGCAACTTCAGAGTACAGCAGTACCAGCTGCTTTTCCTGGCTGGGAGAAACCAAGACTGTCTCAAACTCTACAATATTCCCTTTACATAACAAATTAATATCTACACTCTGCTTTTGAGTCAAATATTACAGCTGCAAAAAGACTCTGGATTATTTTTTAAAATATGCTCACTAAAAATCAAATCCTGTTTTTTTTAATTGTTATTTTCACAGGTGGATTTATCTAAATGACCAGAACCTATGTATCCCAACTAGCTCTTCTTTTGTGTATGGGGCTGTGCCCATCGGAGCCAGCATATACGTGATTGGAGATCTCGATACAGGTCAGGACCAGGACTAAAAACCTCTTTATGCTCATTTCCTTCCAGCATTTTGAATACTTGGCACTGGTGAGACTGAACATTTTAAGAATAAGAGGGCTGGGAGACTGTTGTGTCACTGTGGGTCAGGGGGATTATGCTGGCTGTAGAGAAGCACACAGGTTGGTTTTGGACCTCTTCAGTAACAAGTTCAGTGCTATGAGCATTGGGTTGATTTAGTTGATTAGTTTGAAGACCACAAGAGGTCAAGACTAAGAGTGTGTTGCTGCTTTTATCTAAATGTGAGAAGACCTGTTAGAGCCTGAGGTTGTAGCTCGTCTTTGCAGTGGGAAACAGGCAATTCTGCATTCTAGGGGCATCATCCAGTGGTTCATATGGATGTGTAGTGACTCTTGGCTCTCAGTCCCAACCAAATAGATGTGTGCTATCACACATACTCAGTTCTCAGCTGCCAGCATCTGGCCACGCTCTGTAAAAGAAATTTGGAAGACTTTTGTGGCCATGCGTACGTGTGTGAGTAAAAGCAAACAAAATTCCAAATTTGGTGGGTTTAAGTAGGTCAGAAATGTTGTATTTCCCTTTCGATGATAACTTTGACTGCCCGTCCGGCCACTGCGTTCCTGTGCACGCTCTCGTTCACGTATTTACCCCCCTAGGGGTGAGTTCCAAGCCTTTCAGCTCTTCTCTCGCCCGTGCAGGTACAAACTATGACTACGTGAGGGAGTTCAAGAGAAGCACGGGCACGTGGCAGCGCACGAAGCCGCTGTTCCCGTCGGACCTGCGGCGGACGGGCTGCGCGGCGCTGCGCATCGCCAACTGCAAACTCTTCCGACTGCAGCTGCAGCAGGGATTGTTCCGCATCCGCGTTCCTTCCCCGTGACCCCCGCCCCGCCCGGGGAGGAGACTGGAAGAGTTCACCATAATCTAGCTCTATTTAAAGGAAAAGCTGAGAAATTACAGCTGAAAACTTACACTGTATGCTGTGCTTTGGTATGGTAACTGTTTTTGTTTTAAATGCTTACAAAGCTTGAGTCTCAGTACTTGTTTCGGGAACAAATAACTTAAGTACACATTAAAAAGAAGAGAAGGGGGAAAATAAAAGGGGAGATGGAGGAAGCACCTTCAGTCGTAACCATTTGGAGTTTAAACCGTGTTATTGAAGGAGGATTTTCTGAAACTGGTGGGAATCAGTTTCCTTTGGCAAAGCTTACTGAAAAGCAAAACAAAAAAAAAAAAAAAAAAAAAAAAAAAAAGATTTCAGGTGCATTTCCCCTGCGGGGAACTGATACGAATCCTTGTGCTATCTGGAAGTGGATAGCTGTAATACACAGAAGCTACACGATAACCAACCTCCCTGGTGTGCTGCTGCTGGAGCGTGAGGCCACAGGAGCTGTTGGTCATTGCACCTTTTATTTCTAGTCCTTTCTCAAAAGATAAGGTCTGTGCCTAAAAAAAGGTGGAGGTGTGTACATAGGGTTTTTCATTCATTTGCAACGGTTTCATTCCAACAAATATTTTTAATATATATATATATATATATAAAATGGACTAGTCTGAAATGGATGCACCCCAGAAAATGGATACAGTACACCACAAAGATGTAAACTGTTTTTTTTCTATGCTGTCATTCAAGTAGCCTGATGAACTGGTCTGGAGGTGGGTGATGTGCACTTCTGGGTGGGCTTTGGTGGCTGTTTTCCTTGAAGTGAAAAGGGAAGACATGTTTGGAACAGTTAGTGATGATTGCTGCTTTTGGTAAGAGCAAAAGGACAAATTAAATAGATTGTGTTCCTTTTTACTTCAGATTGCTTGCAAGCTAAGAATGGTTTTTAAGACTGAGGATTGTAGAAAGGTGCATTTTATGTCTCTTAGAACAAAGGTGAAATATGACAAGGATATATTTATTTTTCAGAAAACATGAGTTTTGGACTAAGAGTTAAGGAAAATTTGTACAGTGACTTTAAATTGGGATCAAAAGTTGGTTTACTATTGATTTCTGTGCTACAGTACAGTCTTGTTTACTGCTGTCTGACTTTGAAAGCTGGGTTTTATGGTGTGGTTATAGTGAAGAACTTAGTATCTTGCATTTTATTTCTTACTAAGCCTTGTTCACATCAGTAGTGATATTTAATTGACTTTTGTTTGTAGTCAAGATCAGCTGGTAGAACAGTTTTACCTCAATTTTTGATTTCATTGTTGTTGTCATGGGTGGGACATAACCTGTATTTATTTAAGAGGTATAAAATGGGAGAGATGGAAAATAGAAATAGTACCACCTGCCCTTCAGAAAAAGAGACTTTGTACAACCAGTATTATAACTTCATACAAGAATTTCCACTCTGCAACTTTGTGGACCTCAGACAAGCCAAACTCTGCCCTCAGTTCTGTTAGTGTAAACCATTGTCATCTTTATTGACATCATCTTACATATGTTGAAATATGATCCCAAACTAGTTCAAAATATTGGTATTTCACAAAATAGTCCTTGAAAAGCCATTCTGAAACTTACTTCTGCTCAGTCCTTTGATAGCACTGATGTGGGGTAGGAATTACTCTGATTCCTGAGCAGAAGAGTGTGGGGGAAAGGGCAGCAGCCAATCTATTGACTTTTTTTTTTTTTTAAAGAATGCTGAAGTCTGCAAAACTTGAACTATATACATCGATTTTCTGACCTATGTTAGTTGGCATATTAAAAAGTTTATATATTTATGCATTGCAGTAAACTTGGTGTGTATATATATGTCTTTAGATTTTAAATTTATATATAATGCTTTACTACAGAAATGTGAACCACTATTTCCATCCTTGGCTGTCTTGTGAAATAAATCAAGTGCTGTTAGTTTATCTGTAAAACTTCCCGTTTTTGAAAAATCTTACATGGATCAATTTTTTTTTTCCTCAGACAAAGTGCCAAGATCCCATATTCAAAAGTGATGAATGTTCCTAAGTATCTGTTTCACTTTTGAGCTCAGTTTTCTAAGTGGCTTGGAAAACTTCCGAAAATGTTATTCAGAATATTGCCAGCTGCTATCTCCCGAGTCCCTGTAGCTCCCCAGTACACTTGAGGGCATTCAGCATCCAGAAAATGTAAGTGATAAATGCACATGATAAATCCAAGTAAATACTCTAGCAGTGTTTTGCAGTTCAAGTTACTGAACCAAATGTTTACACTTAGGGTAGGATTAACACTAGGTGTTCTTAGTTTGTTTATTTAAAAAGGAAACATAAATAAAACAAACAAATCTGCTGGTGATTGGAGCATGTTGTAAATGCACTCAGTGAGATTTGACCAAGAAGTTTAAGCCTCTGTACCTGAACCAGTCACAAACTGAATTTCTGAGCATGTTGTACTCATGTCACGTTCCATGTGGCTGGGGACCAAGTCTCCAGGGATGCTCTCCAGGGGGTTTGGGTGCATGCTCAAGATTTAGGTGACTGTCTGAATGTGTGTCCTGGCCAGCTTTTCCTGCAGGATGAGGACTGGCTGGGCCACCTTGGGCTTGAGGCACTTGGGCTGGGCCTCTGCATCCTTTTTTCTTTCCCTGCTGAGGAACTGGACCAACCCCAGCTACTGAAATCAGAAAATCACCAAATACAGGGTAGGAATTGTGGAAGATGGAACGAGTGGTGGCTTTTTTCACCCCTCACTCCATCTCTTCCCACAATTCCCCCAAGAAAAGTTTCTCCTTCTCTTTTTTCATGTACCACAGATAATTTTGGAAAAATTTTGGAATTGTTAATTTTAGGGGAAGAGTGGGGGAAAAATATATGCTACTGTAAGCACACAGTAATGTCCTCTGTGCTTGTTTTACACTTGTAGTCTTGTGGTTGCTCTGCACAGCAGAGAGGGATTACAGAAGCAAAGGTGTAAAGTGCTGTTGCTCTCATAAAATAAATCCCTTGAGTTTCTGAGGGAGGCACATGCCTGGCCTGGCTCTGTTCCTTACCTGGCCTTGACAGATGCTCGTATTCCTAAAGAGTCAGGATTGGATTTCAGATCCTCTCCCTTTCTGGTTTTATAACTGGAAGGAGAGGTATCCTGAAGAGTCTTCTGTTTTGCTGTACCATAGCAAGGTCTGGTTGTCCTTAAATATTTTGTCAGCTAGTCCTTAAACATCAGTTTTTGTGAAAGTGCTGTGTCAACCCAGCTGTTTCTGGTCAAGTGAATTTCTGTAGCTTTGAGGGTACTTCATCTTTAAATTGAAGGCAAATTATTATGAAATTACACAAAAGGACAGAGGTGAATCTGAAACCCAAAGAAGCTCAAAATCAGCTTGCTGATAGCTGTGGGCAGGCTGTGTCCCTGGTGTTTGACTGCACAGCACGTGCCTGGCACACAGCCTGCCTTCAGGAGCAGAGATCTTGATGAAATTCAGAGGTTTTTATCAAAGCTACTGAACCGCCTGGCTTATGAAATCCCCCTCCAGAAGACACCGGGCAGCTTGGTTGCTTTGCAATATTTCTGGTGCCTGCATGACTCAGTAAATGCACAAGCACAGGAGTAAGGGGTTTGGGGAAGTTTTTCCCTGTTTTAACTGCAGTTTCTCTGTTTGTTCCATAAATGCTGTGGCCATGCAGCCTGCATGGGCTCTGCTACCATGCATGTGCCATGCAGAGTGGAGGATGCAATAACAAACACAAGTTGTTACAAGTGCCAAACTTTTGGGTTCTCCTGTGTATAACAATAACTCAACTGTTGTAAAATACAGAGATGCTTAAAATTCACTGTGTTCCAAAAAAGAGCAGTGGTTCTTTTTTTTTTTTTTTTTTTTTTTAATGAATGCTATTGAAAGCAATGTAAATCTGCTTTTTTTAAAATACTGTTCTGCAGGTTTGTGTTACTCTTCACAGCTGCCTTGAGTATCACTTCATGTGATGCATATGGACACTCTAATAAAGAGCACTGGTGCCATGCAAGTATATAATAAAAGGCAGCTGACAACGGGCTTTAAATTATTTAAAATCATAACTGTTTAGATTAAGTGCAATTTGTTTGCATTAATCGACCTGCAGAAAGGAAACTGTGCCTCGGGAAATGTGGCTGTGCCCAGGGACACAGGCAAACTGAGCATTGTAACTAAGGTGTGGTTTGGTGCCACTCACAGGGCTGCTTTCCAAGGAATTATATTTAATTTAGTGTTAAATGGCTCCTTTCTGCCTCTAATTTAGCACTGAGGATTTGGGGGTTGTGTTCCCTTTAGCTCTTTGGGGTACTTAAACGAGTGCTTCAGGTGGGTGGGAGGGGTGTTAATTGCATCCGTGTTTGTAGAAGCTGCTATTTCCATCTTCCCAAAGGAGTATTTCCTTTTCCCGTTTAGGACTGAGTGCAGGCCTGTGTTTCAGTCGTCACTGCTGCAGCCTTTTGACATTTGCCATTTTCTGTTGCTCTTCCGTGTTTTTTCTTGGAGCTGGGAGCTGTGTCCATAGGATCTGTGTTTCCAGGGCACGTCACCTGTGAGAGAAAAGCACAGGGCTTGGGAAGGTGAGCCAGTCAAAGCTGAAGGCAGTGGAGTTTGAGGGAAACTCTTAATTTTTTATTGGGGTCACCTCTGTGTGTTCTGAAGTTTATTAATAAGTTTGGCACCTGTTCTCCATCATCCGTATGGGTTTTGATGTGTTGTTTTTTTGGTTTCTTTTTTCCCTTGGAAATTCCTTGCTGTAGGAAGGATTGCTGCCAGGGTTTAGGGTGACACTCTGAGCAGCCATGCCTAGCATGATTTTGCACTCTGGCTACTGCTCCAGCAATTCTCTCAAAATGTTGATTAACAGGTTACCTAAAAACATAAACTAGAGCTATGCAAAGTAGCCAACTAGATAAACACCTGCTTAAAAGGATTAAGCATAATAAGAGACTTAAACTATCAGCTACTACCAACAGGTAATTATGTTGTGATACAAAATATGGGGTTTTTTAAAATTAATTATTCTAGGTAGCTGCTTCTTAGTTATGAAAGTATTTGCAATACATAAAGGACTTGTATAGAATAATATTTGGAGGCTATTGAAATAATCTATTGAAATGTCTTGAAAAGTGAGCTGGAAGATTAGAGCTTTTCAATGGAAAAAGGCTAAATCTTGGTGCCCAGCAGTTTTGCAGTGTTTCTGTGAGCAGAAAACATGTTCTGCCAGAGCACTTCAGTACATGAAGCTTTTCAATGCCACTGCCTACCTGTGCCCTTGAATTTACATAATAAAATGAGAGTGTTCTGAGCCCTGGTAAAAGCTGA